TGAGCATGGCTCGCTCGTGTTCGGCTCGTTTACACCCCTAGTTGGAAGGGGAACGGATACTTCACTTACTGTGGCCCCCACAGCTAGAGAAATGGTCCCCACCATTTCCGTCAATGGAACTTCGCTTCCCTGCAAGTTGTACAAGGATTATTCCCATAAAAATTTTAACTAAACTACATATAACTTTTTTGAATTGCATTTATATGTAAGTGTTATATGATTTAGGATTGCCTGCCGCATTTTTGTTTGAGAATAATTATACGTGGTCCACGATCAATTAATGATATCATAATTTATTTAAAATTAAGATTTACATACACACACACACACACATACATGCATACAAAATTTATGCACGTTGTCATTAGGATAGATGAGCCGAAAAATTGTTCACAAACAAAAACGCATGCAGACGACAAATAATTTTCTTTTTTTTTCTTAAATATAGACATAGTTCATTGAATCATCAAAATTAGTGAAACAAACAGATTTTTGAAACTCTACTCAAATCACGCATATACATACCAAAGAGATAAATTCATAAAAAAATATTAGATTTGTTATTATAAAGTTTATTAAGAACTTATATCTTGTAAATATGGATTTTTCCAAATTTTAAAAAGTTAAAAATTTAAACTAAAAACTAAAATAAAAGAGTTAAAAAGAGTCCAAATCATCGAAATCATCAAAATCATTGCAAAACTGCAGTGTCCAAAAGATTGTCCGGATACAGCCACATTGTTGTAGATATGAATCACAGGATAGTCCATCCTAATCATACCCATACCACGGTCTAGATATGCACTCGGCACACATAATAAGTCAGCGAAGAGTGGAGCCATCCATACAAAATTGCAGAAAGCAGCGAAATCATTTTCATTTTTGGTAGGAGCAAAATCAGAGCTGAATGCATGATTAATAAATGTGGATTATAAGATTGCATGAGGAGAGCAGCAGAAAAGGGAAGGAAGAGGACCTCCATTTGCCAGGCAAATTTATAGTACACAGCTGCGGCCGCCGTAAATATGAATCCAGAGCTTGACATCATTGCCGCAACCAAATACGCCCTCCGCTCCGCTCTCTTACTCTCCGACCGTCGCAGCACACGATTACTTTCGTTCGCTCTCCGCATCGCCAACAAATCCTCTTCTTCCTCCACCAATCCGTCTTCCTTTCCCACGAAGCCGACAAACGAACCGCGCTTGCGCCCAGCAATCAATGGATTGATAATTGAAGATTTGGGGCGGGGTGGAGCGGGGGTGGAAGGGGATAGAAAACCGAGGCCTCCGCGGCAGAAGGAAGAAGGCTTTCTGGCCAGGATTTGGTATAAAAAGACTGTTGGAGAGGAGAGGATTGTAGACGCCATGGCCTACCGGCGTGTGAGAGTTTTGAGTTTAGAGGGGGGAAGAGAAAGGAGGTGGAGGTTGGGATCAGAGATCGGAGAGGAAGGATGACAAGCTCTAGTCTGTTCCGTAGCGTGAAAGGCACATGCAGGGATGGTTTTATAGCATTTGCGTCGCTTATAAACTTTTTATAAAAATATTATATGAGTAGTCCTATCACAATTCTTCACTTGTATCGTTAGGCTTCATTAAATATAAAAAATCAAATAAATTAAAATATGGTGAGGTCGGATCGTACATATAATGTATTGTGATTGGAATAATGATACAGTTTTATATGAGAACTTCTGATATAATATTTTTTCTTATAAAAGACATTGAATTTGAGTTTAATTGCTTTGAATGCCACTTCTATAGAATGATTCCGCTTGACTTACGGGGCATTTTATAGATTTGATTCCCGTGAATCTCAATGTAGTGATGTGAAGTTCAATTTTAAGAGTATGTAATACATTTTTTTTTTTTGTCATATAAATGTGAAATTTTGTCATAAATATGCAAATATATAAGAATTGTGTGGTGTGTATGTAAATGCCCCTTTAATATTAGTATAATAAAATAATAGATTAGATAGTTTTTAATATATTTATCTTAAAATGTATACAATAACTTTAAACATTGTCATTATTAAATTTGAATCTAAATATACTAATTAAAATTTCTATAAGTGAGTGAGGATTCCTGACTTTGTGATTGAACATTCTTTACATTTAGATTGCACGATTGAAAGCAAGTTTATGAAACTTGGATGAATAAATCTAATTTTGTGGAATCAATGCTTTTAACAAAATTTTGATTTGAGTAATATTCTCATCATGAGCAAAATCGAAACAATGGGGTAAGATAACATCATGATTGGGATTTCAATAAATTTTATCAAGCTAATTTAGCTTTTGCTGCAAGCCAGAGATCACAAATCTGTCTAGCTTAGGCGGGTCATTGAGGATCGTCTTAAGTGGCATGATACAATTAAGTTTTTTGTCACGAGAGAATGTGGTATAATCCGCAAGTTTTTACCAAGAATTTAACTTTTTTAGCGTACATTTAATAGTGACTAGAATATATATCTTACAATGTCATTTGTCAGTTGGAAGTGACAAGCTAGCATTGCGGGCCATTAATCGATACCCATAGATCATTTGACATAGACCCAAGAAGTTGAGCTCCATAAGAACCCTCTCTAGTTAGCATCAGCAAGTGTCAAACGGTAACAAGCCACGGCGGGGGAGTCAGAGTACCTGTCTTTTCTTTATATCAATTAACACAAACTGACCATCTGAGTTGGCGCTCACCTTCGCCCCCTTAGCTTGCATTGGAATCCACTCAAGTGAGTATCCCTTACGCTTATTTCAAGATGAGAGAGGAGGCACGTCACTCCGATCGGTCTTGAGTGCCTTCCCCTTACGACACACCTCCATATGGCTAGGGGGCTCGAACTCGAACTTAGGTCCACTGAAAATAATCGGAGAAGGATGGCTCACTTCATTTATGGTCGGGTGATTGATGAAAGGAGCAGTCGAGTGAATAGCGGCAGGTGATTCTTCTAGTTGTTTCACCGAAGTCTCCCATTCGCATCGGCTCAACTTAACCATGATTACTATCCTATCGACCTCTAGGTGCTACGTATCTAAGAAACTTGCAACCGGCATAGCACTTTTAGTGGTTTCCATAGCAATTTTCCACTCAATAATAATTAGCTCGTCATTGGTTATGATATGAGAAATAATAGAAGAATGAAGCATGTAATAAACCATTTATGCACCTTTGGGGTCTTCCCCAACACTGACCACCATAGGTTTCCGGCGACCCACCTCTCCTATAATTTCAAGGCAGGCCGATTTTGCACGATCAACTGCACAAGCCTTATTTTTTGTTGCTCATGCAGCAACCCTGTCCCCATTCAGCTTTCTAAGTATCAAAGGTTGTACAATCCTCTTTCATCATCAATCAAAGGCGTTTGGTTGCAAAACCTTGTGGAAATTTATATAATCAAAGTGTTGGAGGATCGAAAGTTGACACCCTTCCACCTCTCTCTATCTTCCACCAATACTCAATATGACACTTTCTTTTTTGTTTTGGCCAAGACACTGCCAGACGGAAAGGTTTGAACGCAACACTCATAGAGAGAAGAACTAAGAAAAAAAATGAAGTTTTCAGTCCTTCATTTTGTTCTCCAGCCCTGGTAGCTGGAACTTAGGCAAATTGAACATAGATGTCTGGACCGACCATGAAGGCAAATAGATAAGTGAAAAGCTCCATCGGCTCGGGGAATCCCAAGTCTTGATTGACTGCAAAAATGACGAAGGTAGTGATGATGGCAATGGAATTCAGTAGTACTGCGGTCGAAAAACTCTATAGTAATTAAAAAAGGGCTCACACCTTCCAACAAAAGGGCTATAAAACCGAAGTCGAGCTGATCTCTGTTGCTCGGCCTCATCCGCAACCAGTAGCTTCATAGTTGGATCAAAGATACAAGACTCTTGTAGTTGATTTACTTCCCTCTGAGTCACTGTCGATTGGTAGTTGAGACAACCAACCCGAATGCCTTTAGAAAATACTTTGGAGCCATCAAGTAGAGTGCAAAAGGCGAAAGGCAATGGAGCAAAGAAAAGTAAGTTAAAAAAAAGGAGTGAAACCACAACTTTATCAAACCCCCACCCTTATATATAAAAAGAAACAAAAGAAGCAGAATCATCACATGGGTAAAAACAAAAATGTACAAGAATTTCGAGATCGTGTCGACAAAAGGATTGCATCAACATAGGATTGAGATGGAAAAAAAATATTCTAAGAAAAATATAATACAAACTACAAAAGGTGCTTAGGAGCAAGGTAGAAAGAAAATTTTTTACAAGGGGGTCATCTATTGCTTCGGCCAATACGCACCCCTGTTGAAGCAACCTCTTATACATAACTTCTTCTAGAAACTTAGACCGGTTCACTCGATCCTTCTTTGCTTGATCATAGAGTATGAAGAATCTTTCTCTGACATCTAACAGTTCCTGACAAAGAGTTATCATCTCCACTTCCACCCTCTCAACTTTATTCACCTAAGCAAACAACTCGCATATCTCCTTGTCTCGATGAACCTCAGACTACCAAGCGAAGCTATTCTCAATCTCGTCGAGGCGGCGAGCTGGTAACCCAGGTGATATCCAATGTCCATCAGTTGCTTCCTCGAGGGGACTGCCTGGGCGATCGATCCCACCATCCTCCCTCGAGAGTTGGTCACACTTGGTTGTTCTCTGGGCAGCTACTGTTGATGGCGCGGTCGGTGCCCACCAATGTCTGTCTATGGCGAGTCATATTTCAGGACCATCAAGACAAAGTTAGTTGTCCCAAGAGACAACATTAAAAAGAGGGAACCTAGAAAAAACCCTAAAACTAACAAGAAAGGTTGGGGCTCCTCATCCCAAGGAATAAATCTCTCTTAGACGATGTCACTGCATTAGTAGACGGTTGAGTTGACATATTGATGGTCGAGTCGGTCACCTGAACGTTCCTCTGGTGAGAACCAATGAAGGAATCAGAAAACCCTAACTAATCTGCCAATGAAACCACTTTCATCTTTTTAAGTAGGCTTTTCTTCTTCTTTTCGCCTTTCGAGCAATACTCCTTCTTTGGTCTTCCAATGGCAACACGAAGCACATCTTTGTAGAGAACATCAATCGAGGAATTTAGCATGTTCTCCATCACAACACTTGAAAGTTGATCGATTCAAACGAGAAGGGATACATAATAAATATGGAATACAAAGAGTCATGTTACCTCATTTATAAAGTTCAAATGCACGAAAATCAAAGATGTTCAAATATTGAATCATTGATTAATAATAAATGTGGTCTACTTTTTGACATTAAATTATTTTATTCTTATCGCTGCACCACTTTTAAAAAGAGAATCGAGGCACTAAATTATATATATAAAAGATACGTTAGTGTTGATCCTGAGGAGATTTAATTGTTTAGAGGAGAAGAATACGATAAGGGAGAGCCCACCCACAAAAGAATGTGAGGTCCACTAATCCGGCCTAGTGTAGGTGTCCAAGCCAAAGCCAGCAAGGCTAAAGCCGATCAAGTCACAAAAAACAACTGAGTGATCTAAGTCTAAATTATTCAGTCAGAAACTGGACAAAGAAACATCCGAGCCAAGGACTACAAAGAAACTAGCATAAGGGAAGACCCAATCCTCCAACACCTCATATCATAAAGGGACATCCAGAAGTCTCCCTACCTTTTATCAAGGGTCGGCGCCTAGATTGGATTAAACAATTGGCAATGTCGACCAACATTAGCCAACTGAACTGGTTATGTCGACTAGAAGTCAATCAAGCTCAACCGATTGAGCCAGAGAAAAGCCGAGCTACAGATTCATACTTGCAAAATATCAAGGATACCTCGCACAACCCCGTTTAAAACAGAGACAAAAATGTAATATCATCATATTATACTCTCATTAATAAATATGGAAATTATTTCTTATTCATGTTTTATTGTTCAGTATTGTTCACTCATCTCTCCATCTCTCTCGTGATTTACACTCTATTCTATAGGTACGACTCACAAATAAATAAGGATTCTACAATATTAAAATTATTATTATAGGATTACTCGAATATGTTTCTACTCAATAGAGCTGTTAAAGATCTGATTTCGAGCCGAGTTGGGGTCGGCAAAAAACCGGCTCGAAAAAAATTCGATCCAAAATTTTGTCTCGTAGCTCGGCTCATTCATTTTGTTCCGATCTTGATCAGAGCCAAAATTCAAATGAATTTTTGACTGATTAAAGATCTACGAGCTAAATTTGCTAAATTCTCAGTCATGTCATTAACAATCCGATTTCTAGCCGAGCTGGGGTCAACCCAAAAAAAAATTCGATAAAAAATTTTATCTAGCAGCTCAGAAAGCTTATTTCGATCTGATCTAATTCATAGTAAAAATTAAAATTAATCTTCGAGTGATCAACAATTTTCAAGCTATACATACTACAGCTCTAGCGCTCAACATACTTGAATATATTATAGTGTGCGCGCTAAATTTCTGTCCTTTTCAAATGTTGAAGTTCGGTGGTCAAAAGCTTCCTCAGCCGCGGGAGCCTTC